TACCGGAAAGAGGGCCCCATGTCAGCAGCTCCTCCAGTGCGTGCAGCTGTACCGCCCCTGACCCTTCGACGCAGGGTCTCCTCTGTCTGGCAGCAGCCCCGACGGAGGACAGGGCTGAGGAGGCAATGCTGGGGGCAGTACAGCCACTGGAGGAGCTGCCAGCGTTCTGCTCCTTTCCCCGGTGTGGTTCCCGGGAGAGCCCTGCAGTTCAGGGCTCTCCTGTGAACCCCAGTAGGGAAAGGAGCAGAACCTGGGGCAGCCCCACGCCAGCAGCTCTTCTGGCGCGGCTGCGGTACCACCCCCAACCCCCTCCACAACCCCTCCCCCCCGTCCTCCAGTGGGTCTGGCTGCTGTACAGATGGAGGAGACCCTGCGTGGAAGGACTGGGGCGGTACAGTGGCCCCACATTCTTCTCATTTTCCCCGCTGTGTTTCTGAAGGCGCAGCTGGAGGAGGACAGAGCTCCCTCCCCCCCGGTAAGGGGGGTGGATCATGAGGAGGGGACAGGGAGAGCGTGAGGGCCCCAGGCTGGGGGCAGGGCGAAGTCACATGGTGGGTCACGTGGCCCCCCCGTACCAGTAAGAAATGGATTCCACTTGCACCACTGGCCATGTTGCTCTTTGGACTGTGTCCAGACCAAGATGTAATAGGTTCTGAAGATACTACATGGATGGATCTTCAACCCTGACACTTTAGAATAAAAATTGTGTATTAGCTTTTAAGGCTGAAATTTCCATTACCCTTTGTTGTTTGGAGTTAATTTTCTTTAACCTTACTATCTTATATGCTGGGCCATGGAAGTACCCACGCTTCAAACTAGAATGAAATTCGCATAACTCTTTTCATACTCTAGATATTTAAGAACTTAATAGGTTAAATATGGATAGTACTGTGACTTTATTTAGGCAGATGTTATAGTTGTGAACTCAGCAATAGCTGATATCTGCCTTGAGTATTAGAATCTCGTTTAGTGAGGGGGGGGTTATACCCAGGTTACAGGACCTACCGCTTGCTAGCCAGAAACAGGCCGAGGGACCCCATTTTAATGTCATCCAAAAGACAGTACTGTAGCTTCAAACAATGTAGTACCTTCTCTAGTACTCTTGGTTGTAGTGTTAGATATGAACAAAGTTCTGATGTAGGCCTTGAATGTATGATTGTCTTGTGCAGACAGACAAGCTCCTGACTAAATCCGAATGACACTGTAGAACCTGATACAGTATTTCATCCAAAGAACATAAGAATCCCAAAGTGTTTGTAAGCATAGGAATTACTTCAGCTACCAATTCTTGGCTGAGAGAATGGTAGTTAGGCAGAAAACTGGCACCCAGCTTGCCGAAGAACAGTGAAGGCAAGAGATATTTTGCCCAAGAACATGGGAACAAATCCCCTTACTCCTTATTTAAAAAAAAAAAAAAAGTAGCCGTGGGATCTTCAATGCACATGCAGATCAGGTAGGAAAGACTGAAAGAGCAACATGCAGTAAACTATGTAGAACTCGGCTTTTCTGTCTTGGGAAGGTGAAATGCTGAGTTGTCTCTGCTATATTTCCAACCTGTGGTTCCAGGAAATCTACATAATTAAAACTTAAGGATTAAGCCTGTAAGCCATCTTCTTGGATATACTTGGTTCGCTTTTGCCCAAATCTTGAAATTGTGGTGTGGGAGATTTGGGGTTTTGGTTTTAGTTCTTTTTGTTCCTCTGAAACGGGACCAGTATTTTACCTGCTGTAAACTTAAATAACATTTACTTTCCAAAAGATTAGTCCCACTGTACATGGGTGTAGAAAGCAATAAATTTTTAGTATGTTAAGTAAAGCAATAATACATATATCACTGTGCAAAACAAGCTCAAATGTTAGGACCATTGCCAGTCGTTTCCTAAGCTTATGTTACTGTGGTTTTTAATAGCCTAGGAGACTTGACTGGTAAGAGGTTTAACAATCCGAGCCTATTTTCAGAATTTAGATCACTGAAAAACAGCTCGAACTTCTGGTTATTTATGGACTCCAGTGAAATATTGATGGGAATACATCCTTGTTATCAATTATTTGCCATCTGTTCTCATGGGTGTAAGACTGGCAATCACTTTTTGTTGGCAGCCAAAGTGATATAGAGGAGGGGAAATGGTGATATAGAGGAGCCCTATGTAGTATTAATTTATTAGGAACAAAATTTATCAAAATTAAAAGATAGTAATTTCAGCTCCCATTCCATCTGTTAATCATGTATTTTTGACCTGAGCATAAGTTATTGAAATCAATAAATTAGGGCTATCAATTAATCGCACTGTCAAACTATAGAATACCAATTGAAATTTAACAACTATTTTTGGATATTTTCTACATTTTCAAATGTATTGATTTCAATTACAACACAGAATACAAAGTGTACAGTGCTCATTTGATATTTATTTTTTATTACAAATATTTGCACTATAAAAAACAGAAGAAATAGTGTTTCAATTCACCTAAGTACTGTACTGCAATCTCTTTATCATGAAAATGCAACTTACAAATGTAGATTTTTGTCTGTTTGTTACATAACTGCACTCAAAAACAGAACAATGGAAAACTTTAGAGCCTACAAGTCCACTCAGTCCTATTTCTTGTTCAGCCAATTGCTCAGACAAACAAGTTTGTTTACATATGCAGGAGATAATGCTGCCCGCTTCTTGTTTACAATGTCACATGAAAGTGAGAACATGCGTTCGCATTGCACTGTTGTAGCCAGCGTCGCAAGATATTTATGTGCCAGATATGCTAAACATCCGTATGCCCCTTTATGCTTTGGTCACCGTTCCAGAGGACATGCTTCCATGCTGATGATGATCGTTAAAAGCGTTGATTAAATTTGTGATTGAGCTCCTTGTGGGACATTTGTATGTCTCCTGTTCTGTTTTACCCGCATTCTGCTGTATATTTCATGTTATAGCAGTCTCGAATGATGACCCCGCACGTGTTGTTCGTTTTAAGAACACTTTCACTGCAGATTTGAGAAAACGCAAAGAAGATACCAATATGAGATTTCTAAAGATAGCTACAGCACTCAACCCAAGATTTAAGATTTTGAAGTGCCATCCAAAATATGAGAGGGACGAGATGTGGAACATGCTTTCAAAAGTCTTAAAAGAGCAACACTCCCATGTGGAAACTACAAAACTCGAACCGCCAAAAAGGAAAATCAATCTTCTGCTGGTGGCATCTGACTCAGACGATGAAAATGAACATGCGTCGGTCTGCACTGCTTTGGATTGTTATCAAGCAGAACCTGTCATCAGCATGGATGCATGTCCTCTGGGGAATGATGGTTGAAGCATGAAGGGACATATGAATCTTTAGTACATCTGGCACGTAAATATCTTGCGACGCTGGCTACAACAGTGCCATGCGAACGCCTGTTCTCACTTCCATGTGACATTGTAAACAAGAAGCGGGCAGCATTATCTCCTGCATATGTAAACAAACTTGTTTGAGCAATTGGCTGAAAAAGAAGTAGGACTGAGTGGACTTGTAGGCTTGAGTGCAGTTATGTAACAAAACAAAAAAAATCTACATTTGTAAGTTACACTTTCATGATAAAGAGATTGCAGTACAGTACTTAGGTGAATTGAAATACTATTTCTTTTGTTTTTTACAGTGCAAATATTTGTAATCAAAAATAAATATCGAGTGCTGTACACTGTGTTCTGTGTTGTAACTGAAATCAATATATTTGAAAATGTAGAAAACATCCAAAAATATTTAAATGATATTCTATTATTGTCGAACAGCGTGATTAATCACACGATTAATCACGATTAATTTTTTTTATCGTTTGACAGCCCTACAATAAACTGACCTTGCAAATCTGTAGATTCTCAATCTCCGAGACAGTGGAAGATAGACTGTATAATGCTTGTATATTGCCATTATACGCATTTTGAGAACTGAGTGACTTTTTCAACCCAGTGACAATTCAGAGAGTGATAATTCATATTTTCGTGTAGAGACCACTTTGAATGTAACAAATTGTTTCAGTCTATAAATTTTCTTTCCAGCTTGAGGATGAAGCTCTCAAATACATTGGAGCGCACTGTCCTGAACTAGTGACTTTAAACCTGCAAACCTGCTTAGTAAGTAATCTTTCCTGTGATTCCCATTTTACATGCAATGTAGCTATAAAGGGCATCTCTAAACAGGATCTACTCCACCCTTCAACGTTGTCATTTTTGCAGACTGGAAAATTGTACTTTGGCAAGTTCTAAAAATAAATGCATCCTTTTTTTTTTTTTTTTTTTTTTTTTTTTTTTTTTTTTTTTTTTTTT